TGCAGTGCAAAAAGGATCTGGTGCTGATTAAAGGGCTGTCGGAGTCGAAAATTGAAAAGATCATCGACGCCGCGCGGAAGCTTTTGGACTCCGGCTTTATCACCGGCACCGAGTGCCTTCAGCTGAGAGCGCTGGTGGTGCACATCACCACCGGCAGCGCCGCGCTCGACCAGCTGCTCGGCGGGGGCATCGAGAGCCGCTCCATCACGGAGGCCTTTGGGGAGTTCCGCACCGGCAAGACCCAAATCGCGCACACCTTATGCGTGACCTGCCAGCTCCCGATTCGGATGGGCGGCGGGAATGGAAAGGCGGTTTACGTCGACACCGAAGGGACCTTTCGGCCGGAGCGCATTCGCCCGATCGCGGCGCGCTTCGGCCTCGATCCGGAGGCGATCCTCGACAACATCCTCGTCGCCCGCGCGTACACGCACGAGCACCAATTTCACCTTATTTCCATGGTCGCCGCGAAGATGGCCGAGGAGCCTTTCAGCCTGCTCGTCGTCGACAGCATCACGGGGCTCTTTCGCGTCGACTTCTCCGGCCGCGGCGAGCTCGCGGAGCGGCAGCAGAAACTCGGGCGAATGATGAGCCAACTGTTGAAGATCGCCGAGGAGTTCAACATCGCGGTCTACATCACAAACCAGGTCGTCTCGGATCCCGGCGGGGCCTCGATGTTTGTCGCCGATCCCAAAAAGCCGATCGGGGGCCACGTGTTGGCTCATGCCTCCACAACGCGGCTCTCCCTTCGAAAAGGGCGTGGCGACCAACGGATCTGCAAAATTTACGATAGTCCATCCTTGCCAGAGATGGAGTGCACCTACAGCATCTCCGATCAAGGTATTATTGACGTTGTCGAATAGTAATCTATACTCCTCAGATTTAATTCGAACGCTCCTTACTCCTTTGCCAAGGGGGCGAGGTGGAAAAGAAATATTCCAAAAGGGGATCCCTTTTTGGAATATTGGGGAATATTTGAGCCACACAAATACTTTACAGACTAGTCAAATTCTAAACTTCCTTAAACAGGGTATCCACTCTTTTTTTGTAGGGGGTGGAATCCTTTTCAGCTTCCATAAAATATTCATCTGATTTATTTTATTTTTATTTCTTCTTTCTTTCTTTATATTTCCGCTGACGTGCAATATGTATCTATAGATATTTAGATACCTGCTATTTTATCTCCCCTCTATTTTCTATGGCTTGGCTCATGCTTTGCTTAGTGTTTCTATATTCAACGTTTCTCTTCTGTTATCCCATGATGCATGATTTTTTAACGCACTCTGATTATATTCAGACCCATCTGTGGTTAACTATCTCTTTCTATTAACTTCCTTATTCTACAAATCAAGCTTAGGTGAAGTGTTATTACATTATACATATTCATTTGCACTTCACAACTTCGATACGATGACAATTTCTGTTGTCAGGGCAATTAAAATAATCGATGATCACCTCTCGACAACGAAAAGGCATAATGTCGACCTCACAAACAACAGTTCGTCTAAACTTCCTATAGTAAAGAATGTTAGAATAAAAGACGCGATGTGCGCACGAAACTCTCGAGAATTCGAGCCGCGTTTGACCCTCCCGGCATTTTGCGTCGAATGGCGGGGAGGACCATCTCCCATTAGTAGCAACCAGGGTTCATCGAAATGCTCGGCTGCTGAGATTTTGAGCTTTAGGAGAGATCGGTCCGACCTAAAGAATGTCGACGATGATCCAAATGTGTGTGTTCCCGATCAATCGCACGTGACTTCTCCCCAACCCCCTCACAAAGACTTAGTTAAGGGTTCGGTGAATCCTTTCGGACCCCCCAAGTCCAATGCGTTGATTGACAAAAATCGTCTCTGCCGAAACTGCATCCAGCGCCACGTGCATGGGGCCCTTGGTCTGCGAGAGAGTCCCTATGGCGAACCCGGCTTCGTGTACACCGCCCTACCGCGGCATTGCATGAAAGAAAATCGCCGACTCCTTGGCTATACAGACTATTTACCCATTGATAACCTACATGGCGGCGTACTGCTCCCGGAGCAGCCAAGACAAGGCGTTATTGCTGTACATTTTTCTCGAATTCCATCGGACCATCTTTTAGGTGGTGTGAATCTTCCTTATGACAGGTCTTAGATTCGTCTAGATTAACGTTTCACCTAATATTTTTTGTTTTTATTTGATCAAACACCAATTGATGTGCGTTTTATTTTTTACTCAGATTCATATGTATTACTCTATCTATCTTTTTACTATTATATATATAAATATCAATATATACATATATATAATCTTATATATCCTTATTATCTATAAGTTCATGTATACATTTTCGAGCTTTTCATTTTTTTTCATTTTTAAGATTCTGTATTGTTTAAATATGTATATATATTGGTTATAAACTTCGGTTGGATGTTCTGCAGGGGTTCTTTCCTATATATATTTTTCATTTACTACTCAAAGTAGGAAAGAAGTTTGGACACTACAAGTGATTTTATGTTTCTTTCATTCGAATAATATGGATGCTTTTCCCCTGCAATCATCCCAAAGGTGTGAAAGCGTTAAGGCGCTGCACACCCAACGCTCTGCGATCCGAAAGCGTCTTCTTGAAAAGCAAAAGCAGCGACAGCAAGAGGCACGCCATGCTCAGCTAAACACCGCGCGGAGGAGTGGTGGTGATGGAAATAGCGAATTTTACCTTGGGTCGTCGGATCAAAATGAGAACAAAGTCGACCATTCGGCGCTGCGGCCAGACGATTCGCTCGTTGAAGAGGACTGGCATACCTTTGGTGAGGAGTTTGGCCTCGACATGAGGGATCCCGTCGTTCTTAATTATTGTCTGGTCTTGGAAGAGGAAATTCGCCAGGAGCAGCTTTTTGAGATGTACGAGTCTTCCCATCCCCAGAACCAGAATGAATGGGAGGACTACTATAGGTCCCTAACATCATAGCGAAGAGATGGTTTCCTTGTTGTAGGACGTTTCTTTAAGTCATATATCTGAATTACTAATATGGATTTTTCTATATTGTATTTTATTATTATTTTGGACATAGACCCATCCATGTGTTGACTGTTATGCCATTTTCGAGGGAATTCCCGCCCCGGAAGACCACCGGCGGTGCATTTTGACCATCCGCCAATCTTTTTTCCACACTGTTCTTTTTCTTAGTCGTGTTGTGCTTGATTATTGTCGCGGTTTCCCCGCCATCCGCCCGCCGCTGAGTCCCCCGTGTGCGGACTCACGCGGCTTTCCACGAGCGCG